GAGAGCACTGAACAAGGAGTGGATGAGGGGGTTTCAGAGCCAAAGGGAGGCAGTCAGGACCCTGGGAGAAAGGGTGCCTGGGTTAGGGCTCTGACGCTGTGAGCGGGCTCGGGCAAGGCACTCTACACCTTAGTTTCTCTGTTTGTAAAATGGTTTACCAGGGGCTGCAGGGACCACTCTAATAGATGAGAACTGCCTTGTGGGCCAGCACAGAGGCCAGGTGGGTGGGGAAACCACTGACCAGAACTGAGAGGTCGTCCAGCTTGAAGATGTCATCGGGGACCCCGGAGTTCTTCAGGCTGTTGGCTCGAGCCACAATGGCCTGGGAAGAAACCACGAGAGTCCGTGATTTCCAGCTTCCACCCCCAGGAAGCAGCAGAGAGATCAAGGAAGGACAGCACCTTGGGAAGCCCACCAGAGGCCCAAGGGCTGTCCCAGCCTGGCCTTTGCTCATAGTCCCTCCACTTGGTGAGCTCTTCCTGGCCTCCTGACCAGCTCCTATCAACACCCTAAAGCCCAGCTCCCGTGTGTCCCAGAGCCCAGCAGGGGGCCCTCAGGGAACCTGAGGAAGAGCTTCCCCATTCCAAGAGGGCAAGATAAGGGAGTAGCTCTGAGGCAAAGGTTCTAGGACAGAGGGAGAGGGGTGGACCACAGCGAACTCAAGAGTGTGGACCAAGAGCAAGTCTGTTTTGTATCCTGTCAGGACTGAAACCTCAGAGAGTCTGAAGGGGAGAGAGGAAGGCCACAGGATGATGCCACAACCGTGAGCACCAATGGGGCTGCTGCCACTTTTCCCTCCGCTGCAGCGTCTGTGTAGGACCACACTGTGGCTTCGTAGCTGTCACCTCCCCAGAACGCGGAAGGAGCTAAACCCTCCCCAGAACGCAGAAGGAACTTGTCACGCAGCCAGGAAGCAGTGGGGCCCAGATCTGAACTCAGGCCGCCCTGGTCCAGAGGCTGTGCTTTTAACACCTGAGGGCTCTGGCCTTGGATGGGAACAACCCTCACCCAGGCCCAAAAGGTCTAGACGGGGCCTGAAGTTCTGGGATGTCAGAGGCTCTGAGGGGCGACAGGACCACCCTGACTACTTTCCATCAAGGCCAAACCCCACCCTACCCCAGTTCTTGCACTGCATGGCTGTGTGACCTCAGCCTCGGGCAAGTGACCTGGCTCTCTGGCCAAGCATCTTCATCTGTGAACTTGGTGAAAGTCAGGATTATATGGAATCAACCAGGAGGAAGAGCTGGAACCGTGCTCAGCTGGTATCAACTGTTCTTATGACACCTGTCTAAAAGCGGGTGGGAGTTTGGGATTTTTACCTTTTTTCTCCATGCATTACTGACCATGGGGCATCATGGTATCCCTTCGCCTTTAGGAACAGGCACCAGAATCCGACATTGGACAGGCAGTGGGGCTGGTCCACGAGGGGTCTGGACCTGCCCTCACACCACCCGCTGGACTCCGGCCCCCACCCCCAAGCTCAACGGCCCACCGCAGCACTCACCCTCAGTGACGGCAGGCTGGACAGCTCCCCGTGAAGTGTGGTCAGGTTGTTGTGGCTCACGGACAAGTGCTCCTGGGCCAGGACAGGGGAGCAGAGGCTCAGCACTGTGGGTAGGGCACCTACAGAATCCCCAACCGCCACCAAAACCTTGCACCACCCAGGGGGCCCTCAGCCACAGAGGCCTGGGACACCATCGGCAGCCTCCCTCCCCAACACAGCCCGTCTCTTCTTGCACACCTCCTGGGACAGGGTGCTCACTCCCTTCCTGCTGGCTCTTGTTCATGGCTGTCAGCGTCTTCCTCTAGGTCATCTCCCTTCTGCGCTGGCTCTGCCCACCTGGCCCAGCCCCATCCCCAGGGTCCCTCCCCGACTGCCCAAAGCCCCTTACCAGCTTCTGCAGGGCGGCCAACTCCTCTGGCAGGTAGCAGAGGCCCGTGCGGTTCAGCTTCAGCCACCGCAAACTGGTCATGGCCTTGACATTCTCAGGAAAGTAGCCGCCCTGGGAGGGTGGGTATTATGATGAGACTGGTCTGGGCGAGGGGTGCCCCTGCTCTACCACCCTTGGTGGCCCCAATGCCATGGGAGCCTTTGGAAGACAACAGAGTCACCTCTCACCAGCTCCCTGGACAGGCCACCTCGCCATTCTGTGCCTCAACCTCATCAACGGAATGGGGCAAATAAAAGCCCCCCATGCCAAAAGTGTGAGGACAGACTAACAATCATGATGGCTGTTGGCCTAAAATCTCTTGTTGGATTCTGACCCCTGAATGGGCCAGGATGGAACTGGCTTGTCCCCAGCTCGGGTCAAATACCTCTGCCCGCCATTCCAGGCCCTCAGTAGGCCACCCAAGATGGGGGTACCCCTGAGCTTCCACCAAGGCCCTGCCTATGCCCCCACCTGGCCATCAGCATACAAGCCATTCTTGGCAAGGTCCAAGCCCGTGTGAGGCCCCAGGTCCCCACCAGCACAGGCACAGCCTCATACATACCCTCATGAACACCTTCAAATGCCCGCTGTGGTACCCCCAGCCCTTAAGGGCAGGCAATCTCATGCCCTTGAGGCCCTTGGCCAGTGTCCCCAGCCCCCTAGAGCCACATTCCAACCTGGTGACTCAAGACTCTGGCAAGGTCAATGAGATGTCAATGAGACCCCAGGTGAGGACGGTGGGGATGGGGGCAGAGAAAAGTGGCATGTGCACATGTGGGTAAATGCAGGAAGGCCCCGCTTGCCTCTTCAGCAGTGGCCCAACCCAACCCCAAGGAAAGCCTGGGCCCCCCCACCCCTGCAGACCCAGGCTGACCCTCCCTGTACTGGACCAGCTCTCACTTCCACTCCTGCCCAGCCTGTTCTGGTCACCAGCACTGTTCACCTCATTCCTGCCCCTCTAGAACCGTCTCCTCGACCAGCTGCCTGAAGGCTGGGATCCAGTTCTCAGTGGCCCTCCTCTTATCAGTCCCTACCATCCCGCCAGAGGCCTCACACCTGAAGGAGGGTCTCCACACCAACTAACCCATGCCCACAGCAGGGCTACTTGATTGCCCCTTCACCGAATGAGAAAACCCAGGCTCTGAGAGGGGAAGTGACTTGCCCAAGACCACACAGGATGGAGTGGCGGTGGCAAGGCCGGGGCGGTGATGAGTGCGCTTCAGACCCGCCCCCCGACAGCCCGGTAGCAAAGCCGGCCATGAGTCAGGGCCTGGCCTGGGCGTGTGACCTCAGAGGGGCGGGGACGCAGGGCCGGGGAGGCGGGAGCGGAAGCTCGCAGACCCCCAGGCCACTCTCCCGCCCGGGTGGGGCCCAGACCCCCGGACTGGGACACCGGGTAGGGGCCCCCAGCTCTGCCCACTCCCTGGCGTGACCTCGCGTCCCCAGCGTCCGCCGGGCCCTGGCCGGCCCCGGTCTTCCCGTGCGGGCCCGGAGCGGAGGCACTGGGGTCTGTTCCGGGCGGGGTCGCGAGTGCCGGGAGGAGCCGCACCCCGAGCCTTCCGCGGTTCGCGGCGGCGCAGGGCCCGGAGGCGGGCGGGACAGGAAGCGGAGACCGGCGCGGGCCCGAGCGGAAGAGACGGCCTGGAGGGAGGTCGGCCCCACGCCCGGCCGGCTCACCTTGAAGTCGTTGCCGCTGAGGTCCACGCCGCGGACGAACGGCAGCACTCCGGTGGCCTCCATGGCGCCGCTCTCGCTGCGGGGCCAGACAGGGCGCTGGGGGCCGTGGGGCGAGCCGCGGGCTGGGCCAACGCCGGACCCGCCCCTTTAACCCGCCTCCGCCCGGGCCCGCCCGGCAGGCGGAGCCCCGGCCGCGCCCCTAGCCAGCCAGCGCACCCGCTTGTCGTGGGGAAGCACCGGGCCCACGGGGGGCTTTGGGCCTCCCTGGGCCTCAGTGTCCCTATCTGTCTGTTCGCTGGCCGGGGGGGCTTCGAAAAGTCCGGGCTCCCTCTGTGCTCCCGCAGCTTTCCTAGGCTAAGTTCCCGCGACCTATGGGGGAGGGGCAGAGTATTACAGACCCTGCAGGTCCAAGCACTGTCCCCCGGGCCGCTGCAGCAGCTGGCCACGGCGTTTGGAGAGATTATGGACCCAGGCCTGGGGGAAGACGGACCCAGGGGTCTCTATCCCCTCACTGGGCCCTGCATGGCGACCAATGGTAGCAGGATGCCTCGGTCCTTGGGTCCTAGGGCTCTGGGCAAACCCCTGGTCGGCTCCTGGCCTGTTCCCTCATGTGTGAAATGCTTCCTGAGGTTGTGGCCGGAAACAAACGCAGGTGTAGGTCGTGGCATACAGCAGGCACTCAATAAGTGGCATGTTATTATTCCTGCTTAAAGTCAACACCCACCCCCTCTCTATTTCCTCGATCCTCCACCAGCCGGCACATGGTAGTCCCCAATAAATAAACGAGTGAGCCCCAGGTTACACGCACAATCATCCTTCGTAGGGGAGGAGGGGGCCTACCCATTTCACAGGAAAGAAAACTGAGGCCAGAATGGAGAAGTGGCCCGCACACGGGCACATGGAGCAGGGGGCAGGGGTAGCCTCCTGAGTCGCGCTGTGTGCAAGGCTGGCCGAAAGATAAAACGACAAAGCCTCCACGGCCCATTCAGGGTGACCGAAAGGGCCAGGCAAGTGGGCCTTCGGGCCAGGTATCATCTGTTTGTCTCGCCCCGGAAACAACGTAAGCCCAGACTGCTTTCTCTATACCGCTGCCTCACACGCAGCACACGCGCCTTCACAACGGGCCCTAGGGACCCACTCATTCTGAACTCGAGTCACCGCCCCCACACCGCCTTCTATCTAGTCCCAAATTCGGCTCTGCGCCTTTAAATCTGGAGTGCGTCCGAGAGTCCCGCCCTCGAAGGACCCTGTTTGTCGGTGAGGGGGCGTGGCCTGCTCATCATTGGCTGAGCCGCTCAGTATTTTGGAACGTGGGAGGGGCCTCGGGCGCTCCGATTGGCGCTTGTCTGCGTGCGTTGGAGGTCAGCGGCCGCCCGCGGGGCCTCGGTGTTCGGTTCCCGGGTCCTCCGAGTTCCATTCCCAGGCGGGTCTGGGCTCGGGGGCCCAAGCACAGCCGCCGTGTCCTCCGGTCGCTGTGCTGAAGCCGCGACGCACGTACAGCCGGAGTGTGGCTGGGCGGCCCTTGTCACCCAGGTCCGGGCGTGGAGCGTGCGGCGGACACAGGTCGGGGGCGTGGTCTCCGCCGGGGCCCGCAGTCGAGGCCCGGGAAGGAGGGAAGGGCTTTGGGACCCAGGCTGGATTTCGAATGTCTAGCCTGCCCCTTCACGTCTTGGGCGCATCACAGCATTTCTCGGGACCTGGGTGCCCTCCCCGTTAACCGGGCCATCACGGGCCCACCAGGGGTTGCTGCGCGGCCTGCGCAGCCCCGGCCCCGGGCAGCAGGTGTGGCGGAGGAGGGGAAGGACGGGAGGCATCTCAGGGCGCTGAGTGGGGTTATTTTTAACCACCCGCGCCCTCTCGCCCTTCCCCGAGTTGGAAGGCTTCGGTTTGGGCCCTGCGCGACCCCGCCAGGGGTTGGGCTGAGTCCGGTTTAGGCAGAAGGTAATTAAAGCGCTTTACAGTTTCCAAGTGGATTCTTGGTCCGTATGGCAGTATTGATCAGCGATGAGGAAATTAAAAGTGGCTGCAGGGCCTTGGTGGGTCACCCACCACCCCCAGCCTTTGACCAACCAAGGCCCCAGAGCCCTCTTGTCCTATTTTTAGTCTGGGCAAATTGGGGGCGGGGGTTGGGGCTGAGTCCGGCGGTGATTCAGGCTTCAGCTGCTCTAGGCATCTCGTCACCTGGCAACGGAGCCCTGGGCACCCACAGCAGAGCAGACAGGGCACAAGTCCTTGGTGCCTGAGCTAGTCTGAGCCCAGGGTCATCTGCTGAGGCATCCGGAGACAGACAGCTCTGCCTGGTATCTGACTCTTTCCCTGAGTTTGCACCTCGCTCAACGCCTTCCCCCCAGCTCTCAGGGCTGGAGGGCAGAACCTGAGGCTGTAGCGTGGTGGCCTGGGCCTGGGAAAGATATCTGTCTTCACTTCCCAAGCTCCCCGCCCTGCCCAACCTTACAGTTCTGGGCTTCCCACTCGTAAACCCTTTTTCACCACAGCTGTGCCATTTTACAGATGAACAAACAGCTTCGGACTTTCATCGGCCTTTGTCTGTTGCTTGGGCTTCCAGCCTCTGAGGACAGCTGCTCTCCCACCCCCGCTGCCCCTGCTATTGTCCCAAACCTTAGGGGCCCAGAGAGTCCCATGCGCAGAGGCGCTGGGCTAGTTCTCTGTTGGTGGAGGGGGGTGGGGAATGTCCTTTATTATTTATTTATTTTAAAATAATCCCTATGCTGAACGTGGGGCTGGAACTCACAACCCGGAGATCAGGAGATCAAGAGTCACACGCGCTCCCTACTGAGCCAGCTGGGTGTCCCGTTGGGTTCTTTAGAGTTAAATAGCTTGCTGCCCCTATAACCAGGCTTTCAGTCTTGACTGGCATGTGCCTCCCTGGGCAGCTTGGGCCCCCTCACTCACCCTGTCCTTTGGGTTGATTGCTTTCCCTCTGGGGGCTACCCTGATTTGGAGATTTGGAGGGGAGATTGTGGCCCTCTGAGCATCGCTGGAGTCCCCTCAAAGGCTTGAGGGGCTCTCCAGGGCAGGCTGTCTGGGAACCCCAGGTTGTGTCTTCTCCAGGCCTTGGTTTCCTCCTGCCTATGCCAGCCCTGGTTAGGAAGCAGGATGAAGCCGCCTGGCGGAGCTAGCTGTAGGCCCCGAGAGACTGAATGGAATCCGGGAGTGGGCCAGAGTCAGGACGCTTTGCAGTCATGGGTCCAGGGCTCTAAAATGCAGGTAGCAATGATAAGACTCACTTCGGGGTCTTAGGTGATGTCAGGGGTCCCTGAGGGTGGGATGGAGAAGCTGGGTCTCCTTTTCTGACCTGCCCCAAGTCTCAGGGCCTTTCTACAGGAGCTCCTCTATCTAGGGCACGAGTGAGCTGTTTGCAGGTTTGGGGGAGGGAACTTGGGCAGCTCCCCATCTCCTGAGAACCCCCTTCTGAGAAATTCCCAGGAGCGCCCCTCACGGGCTCTACCCGTGGCAGCCCCGGCATGGTGGGGTCTGCCCTGCTGGCCAGCCGGGCCGCCCCCCTCCAGAGCTGTCTCTGCGCCCGGGCTCTCTTACAGGCAGACGGACCATGGCAGAGTTCTCCCAGAAGCGGGGGAAGCAGCGTGACGAGGTGCTGGGCGGCACCGTGGACTTCCTCCTGGCTAATGCCCGCCTGGTGCTGGGCGTGGGTGGGGCCGCTGTGCTCGGGATTGCTACCCTGGCTGTGAAGCGGGTAAGGCTGGGCTGAGCCATGTACCCCTGGGGCTCCCAGAGGAGGACAGCAGGGCTGGGCTGCCACGGATAGTGGGGACTGCCCAGGGTGCACACCTGCTTCTCCACCCCAGCAACATGCTTGGCATTGGTCCTGGCTTTGGCATGGCTGCCCAGACCTCAGAGGCTCTGCTCTGTGTCACTCTGCCTGCAGCTAATTGACAGGGCCACCAGCCCTCGAGATGAGGATGACGCCAAGGGAGACAGCACATGCCTGGAGGAGAGCTGGAAGGAACTGAGCCTTCTCAAGGCCACGCCACGTCAGCAGGCCCGGAGCCCACCTGCTGCTCTCAGCCAGCCCGTGGCACTCCCTGCCCCGTCGCCGGCTGCCCCAGGTGAGTGGCACTCCTTCCCCTCCAGCCTGGGTGGGTCCCCCCTCTGGTGGTCCCATTTGGGAGATGGAACCCAGGTTCTGTATTGACGGACTGTGACCTAGACAAGTCCCTGCTCCGCCAGGACTATGGCCTCTTGGCATGTTTTACAGTGCCCTGTTTTCTCTGCCCTCCTAACCTCCTGGGTCGTGCCAAGGCTCCTGCCACTGAGACATAGGTAGAGCTCTCTTGGCTCCTGATGGGGGTCTGCTAACATGGTCCCCGACCCCTTCATTCTGCAGAGGGGCCCACAGACACCCGTCCTCAGATGTCGCCTCCGCTTAGCTCCCCAGCACCGCTGTGCCTGACATTCCAGGAGAAGCTGCTGGCATTCGAGCGGGACCACGTGACCATCCCAGCGGCCCACGTGGTTCTGGCCAAACAGCTGGCCGGCGACATCGCCCTTGAGCTGCAGGCCTACTTGAGGAACAAGTTCCCGGAACTGCCCTTCGGGGCGCTGGTGCCCAGCGGGCCGCTCTATGATGGGCTGCAGGCAGGGGCGGCCGACCGTGTGCGTCTGCTGGTTCCCGTGGTGCTCGAGGAGGGCCTGTGGAGCCTGGTGCCTGGGCTGGACACTGTGGCCAGGGACCCTCGCTGCTGGGCTGTGCGCAGGACTCAGCTGGAGTTCCGTCCCCGCGGGAGCAGCCCCTGGGACCGCTTCCTGGTGGGCGGCTATCTCTCTTCCCGCGTCCTGCTAGAGCTGCTCCGCAAGGCCCTGGCCTCCTCCGTCAACTGGCCGGCCATCGGCAGCCTCCTCGGGTGCCTGATCCGGCCCAGCGTGGCCTCGGAGGAGCTGCTGCTCGAGGTGCAGCACGAGCGCCTGGAGCTCACGGTCGCCGTGCTGCTGGTGGTTCCCGCCGCCGCCACCGAAGATCCCCTCCTTCTGGCCTGGCCCCTGGAGGGGCTGGCTGGGAACCTGTGGCTGCAGGACTGGTATCCTGCAGAGGCCGCCAGGCTTCGGGCCCTGGATGACCGCGACGCCGGGACCCGCCGGCGGCTGCTGCGGCTGCTGTGCGGGGTCTGCCACGGCCACCCGGCCCTGGGGCGGCTGGACCGGTGCCACCTGAGCCAGGTGGTGCTGCGCCTGGGGGAGGCCGAGGCGGACTGGGCCGAGGCGGCCCTGGGGGAGCACTTCCTGCAGGCCCTGGAGGCGCTCATCGACAGCCTGGCACAGGCCAGCCTGCCCTGCCACTTCGACCCCCGGGTGAACCTCTTCGTCAGCCTTCGAGCAGAGGAGATCGATGACCTGGGCTTTGCGCTGTACAGCGGCCTGCAGGCCCCTGAGTGGCTGCTCTAGCTGGGTGGGGATGGGGCGGCCGGCAGGCGTTCCGACGCGGGTGAGCGGAGAGCACCTCCCCTCCGGGCCTTTGGAGAGCACTTTCCCTCCTGCTTTAGCCAGAGTGAAAGAGGGTGCGTTCTGTGAGCCCACAGGGTTAGCATGCATGCGGGCAACGGTCACGGGAGCCCCCCACCTCCCAGTCCCTGAGAGCTCGGTTGGCTGTCCCCAGAGGCAGCCTGCAGCGCCGGCCATGCACACATGCCCCGTCAGCCCTTGGGCTGCCCCAGGACCTTGGGCCCAGTCCTTCGTCACCAGCAGTGAACGCACGGACAGAACACGGCTTCTGCTGTCCTAGGCAGGGGATAAAGGCAGCTCCATTTTCTGCCCAGAGGGTGAGTTAGCGCTTTCCTCGGGTGCCAGCTCCAGGCATCTCGAGGCTTCCGGTGCTGGATGCTAAAGACTGTGTGTTTGTTTCGTCCACCAGGGGCCGGAGTCGCCTGCTACCCTGTCCCCCCACCGGATTGCAGCTCTGGGGCGGATTTGAAGGCTGTGTCTCCCAATGCCACCTGCGTGTCTAGGTAGCTTGTTGCGCTGTTCCCTCTAGCCTGGAGCAGGGCTCAGTCCGACATGCTGCCCACCTCGTGCCTCTGGGGAAGGCCCCTTTCTCTCCACCTGGGCTCTTGCTCTTTGGGAAGCGGAGGCCCCTGGGGTGGTGGAGGGAGCAGAGGTTCCCTGTGCTGCACGCCTTGCCTGGAGCCAAGGATGCCCCACGGCCGGAGAGCAGAGGCCGTGCGCACCCCCCCCCCCCCCCCCGCAGAGGCCGCTGGGGCAAGCCTGGCCTCCACAGTGCCACCATGAACTGCTTCCTGCTGAGTTCTTACTAAAGCCTGGCACGGGGCCAGGGAGTTCTGCCTTGCCTCCCAGGCATCCCTTCTGGCTTTGGTATCCTTCTTGCTGAAGCAAAGCTATGCCTCAAAGAATATGAGTAAGAATAAAAGGAAAACTTCCGATGTCTGTGTGATTGGGGCTGGGCTCTTATACACAGCTCTTTGGAGTTCTGGAAGCTCAGCCGCAGGTCTTGGGACCAGCCTGGAGACGTGAGGGTTTATTTTTTAATTTAAAATTTTTTTTTTTTAAAGATTTTATTTACTTATTTGACAGAGATCACAATTAGGCAGAGAGGCAGGCAGACAGAGAGAGAGAGAGAGAGAGAGAGAGGAGGAAGCAGGCTCCCCGCTGAGCAGAGAGCCCGATATGGGGCTCGATCCTAGGACTCTGGGATCATGACCCGAGCTGAAGGCAGAGGCTTTAACCCACTGAGCCACCCAGGTGCCCCTAATTTAAATTTTTTAAAAAAGGTGTTATTTATTTATTTGACAGACAGAGATCACAAGTAGGCAGAGAAGGGGTGGGAAACAGGCTCCCCGGTGAGCAGAGAGCCTGATGTGGGGCTCGATCCCAGGACCTCGGGATCATGACCTGAGCTGAAGGCAGAGGCTCAACCCACTGAGCCACCCAGGTGCCCCAGAAGTGAGGGTTTAATTGGGAAAGTAGGTTATGTGGAGAGATATTACAAGATTTGTGGTGTTTCGCTTTAGTGAAAGGGACCCACTAGTGAGGGACTTCTTTTCCCCCCGAAGTCTAAACTCTCAGGCCCCCACTGTGCCTTCTGTGGTGGGTACGGCTGACCCCAAGCCCCTCGGGGAGCAGTCAGCATTCAGAGAAACATGATGTCTCTGTGGTTCCACAAGTGGGGGACAACACCCACCCCCAGACAGGGAAGTGACAGCATCTCAGGGTCCCCGCAGGATCCTGAGCCATGGCTGGGGCTCCCTTTGTCACCACAGATGACAAGTTGGGCCTGGGGAGGGCTCTGGGCCATGAGTATCAGTACAGCCACCGTTCGCACCCTACTCTTCTTCCCATCCCGTCGTATTTCCTGAGGCAACCCCCACCCCTTTGTGCTGAGTACAAGACGGGAAGCAGGATGGATGTCTCCCACCCCCCCGCCCCCCACTCTGAGGGCCAGCACCTGGGACCGATGGGCTGTGTCTGTGCACCTCTGGGTGCAGGACCAGGGGCTGGCCCCAGAGGTCATGAGGGCTGTCTGCCTCGGGCACCTGTGGCTGGATGGCTTGACAGGGAGGCTGTGGTAAGGGTCAAAGGGTGGGAGACTGGCTTAGCAGAGGTCCATTCAGATCACTTGGCTTGGGGACTGGTGCACAGGGGGCTTTGAGCAACTGTCATGGTGGCTGGGTGTGGGCAAGGGAACAGCCTGGAGGCAGACAGAGGCGGGCCTTGGTATTCTTTTATTTTAAGATTTTATTTATTTGACAGAAAGATCACGAGGCAGAGAGGCAGGCAGAGAGGGGGAAGCAGGCTCCCTGCTGAGCAGAGAGCCTGATGTGGGGCTCGATCCCAGGACCCTGGGATCATGACCTGAGCCGAAGGCAGACGCTTAACCCACTGAGCCACCCAGGCGCCCCTGGGCCTTGGTATTGTCAGAAATGGGGGATTGTGTAATACCAACTTCTCAGGAAGCTGTGTGGCATAAAGACTGGTATGCAGTGTTAGCTCAGTGCCTGGCCCAAAGGAAAGCACTCCTGAACCCGACTGTGGGCCCCTGCTGCCTCCCCCACTGACCAGCATCACAAAGCCTGAGCGCAGCAAGGGGCACCAGTGCCAGGCCTGCGTCTGACCAAGGCCGTGTTCCCCAGGACCCCTGGCGAAGGGCTGGCAAGGCATGGCCAGGGGCAGCAGTCTGGGAGCCAGCTGGGCCCAGACCCCCACTTCTTCGATGATCAAACTCCAAGACGCGGCCCCCTCTGTGGGGGCCTCGTGCTTCAGGTGGCTCAAGTTCTCAGACCACCATTCCAGTAAGAAAAAATCAGGATGAATTAAAAGGGAGAAAAAGGAGGCACTCATGGTTACATCACCTCCCTAAGGTTAATAATGTCTGAGACCTCGGTTTCTAGCTGGAAAATTGGAAACATCATAATTTTGCTAGGGGCTGCCCAGAGCAGTTGTTTGGCAATTTCCTTCACCCCTTTCATGCAAGGACGATTCCAAGTCACCGTGGTCTCAGCACACGGTCTGAATGTCTTAATACTTACACTCTGGCTGTGGTGGCAGACACAGGCCGTCCATGTCCTCGGTGTAGCTTTACCAAGGAACCCAAAGCCAGGAGTTCAGACAACTGGGGTACGGCAGAGATGACCCCTGCTCAGAATGAAGGCATCACCGGTGCAGATAAAAGACAAGCCTCCGGGACGCCTGGGTGGCTCAGTTGGTTAAGCGGCTGCCTTCGGCTCAGGTCATGATCCCGGCGTCCTGGGATCGAGTCCCACATCGGGCTCCTTGCTCAGTGGGGAGCTTGCTTCTCCCTCTGCCTCTGCCTACCACTCTGCCTGCCTGTGCTCATGCTCTCTCTCTTTCTCTAATAAATAAATAAAATCTTTAAAAAAAAAAAAAAAAGACAAGCCTCCCATGGCACACAGAAACTTACTAATATGAAATATGCCACCGCTCGCTCTCCTACCCTAACTCTGGAATAAAACTTACCATGTAGAAAACGTTTCCTTTCTGTACACCCCTTGTAGGCCCTTCTCTTCAGGAGCACTTAGCTGTAGGATAATCTCTCAAGTGGGGGTACCGTTCATTCCCTAGAGCTGGCCTCCTGGTTGTTCCGATCTTTGCTCCGATGGCTGTCCCCCAACCTGCGGCTTCCTTTATCCGCCGTCTCAGTTCTGCATGGCCAACTGCAGACCAGGAACAGATGATCCTCCCCACGTATCGTGTCCATAGCAACGCCTCACACTGGGGCACCACGCCATCAAGTCTCCTGCCGTCATCCCGCAGGCACTGTGCCATCTCATGTGCCAACGAGAAGAGGAGTGGGTACGGTACGATATGGTAGTTGGGAGAGGGAGAGCCCACGTTCACGAATGTTTTATTACAATATATTGTTATGGTTTTATTATTAGGTATTGTGACTTTCTTACTGTGCCTTATTTAGACATTAAACTTTCTCATTCATATGTAAGTACAGGAAAAGACATAGTCCAACAGTGTATATAGGGTTCGGTACTATCTGCGGTTTTAGGCATCCACTGGGAGTCTTGGGACATATCCCCCAAAGATAAGGGGGGGAACTGTACTTAAACCAACACACCCTGGGGCGCCTGGGTGGCTCAGTGGGTTAAGCCTCTGCCTTCGGTTCGGGTCATGATCTCAAGGTCCTGGGATTGAGCCCCACATCAGGCTTTCTGCTCGGCGGGGAGACTGCTTCCCCTTCTCTCTGCCTGCCTCTCTGCCTACTTGTGATCTCTGTCAAATAAATAAATAAAACCTTAAAAAAACCAAACCAAAACAAAAAACCAACACACCCTGAAGAAGTCTCTGTGCACACAAACTATGGCACAGACATTCCTGGGAGTGGAAAGTATTCAGTGTCCAGACCCTGAAGGAGCCAAACTGCATTCTGGAAGGACTTCGGTCAACAGGCCAGAAAAGCAGCCTGGAGCCCCGGGTGGGCAGGAAGGGGACAGCAGGTGGAACTGAGAGGGAGGAGCCCGGGGCGGTGTGGGGCGAGCCCGTCCACCCCCACCCCTGCTGGCTCCCAATCCCCTTTCTGCAGACTTGACGACTTTGAGCAGACAGCGGAAATCGAGGCATACTCCCCTGAGCTGTGCCTGCTGTCTGTAGCTCGCCACACCTCCCTGGAGTGCGGGGCCAGGGTGGGACGGCGGAGGGGAAAACTGTCACTTTGGCGAGGAGCCACCGGTTGCCCGAGCTGGCACCCGAGGCCGGCAAGGAAAGCACTGCCCGAGTTTTGGTGGCGAACAGCCCTTCCCCTTCAGACAGGAATTTGGGTAGCTGGCCGTGTCTGTGGCTGGCGAGGCCCAGGAGGGCACGGGGCCCAGGGGCTGAGGCGGGGCTGGAATGGCTTTGCTCCAGCCCAGTCCTGCTCTCCCTACAACGAGGGCCTTCAACCTGGTCCATTACCTGTGGTTCACGCATGGCATTTACCAGAAGTACACTTTTGGAATCAGAACAATAAAGATAAATAAAAAAAGAATAACCACCACCCAACACCATTACAGTCTGGTGGCACTCGACTCAGGGAGGAAGCTGGGAAGGCCGCGTGGACCAAGCCCAGAGTGTGTGCTGCAGACACCATGGGAATGGTCCGGGGAAAGCGCTCTTAGGCCCTCTCCGCACAGCTGCCTGGGGCACCACCTCCCAAGCAGAACGGCAGCGGTGTCAGGCAGGGATGGGTGCACACGTCTGTCCCTCGGAGGGACAGCCAGTGGACAGCAGTGATATCCCCAGGGGGGACCCGCGCCGCCCTGGCGGTCTAGTTCAGGGAAGTCGGGCTCCATGATCCCACAGTCTGAACAGCGGCCGTTGTGGGCTGCAGCAGGCCTCGGAAGGAGAGGGGGCTGCGAGTTCACCCCCACAGGGCAGCAGGGTCTCCTCCCGCTGTCCCAAGAGCTAGGGCCTGATGGGGCGTGGTGCTGTGCGGGGCACAGGGCCTGGTGCACGTGGCGGGGGCTGGGCAGGGGGCTGACGTGGCTTACGGCTGCTCCAAGACCAGTAAGCATCAGAGACGGTTCTCTCGGAAGGCAGCAGCTGGGCGGGGAGGCCCCTCTTGCAGACCTTCAGGCCGGGGCAGCCCAAGGCAGCGGTGGGGATGTGTGTGCACCGGCCAGGCTTCCTCTTCTCTGAGGGGTGGCAGGTGGCTCCGCCCCAGCTGGTGGGCTCCCACCTCAGCAGAGTGGAGAAAGGTG